GCCTTATTTTTTGCTATTTCCTTCAAAGCAGCTTGAACTTCTTCCTTCATCACCATAGGCTCTTGCTCATATGTGATTTCATTAAATTCTTCTGTGTCTGACAGTTCCTTTTATATACAGTGACTCAGTATATTCTTTCCATCTTCTTTTAATACCTCCTGGATCATTTAATATTAGCATAATAAAATGTTCCAATATTCTTTTCCTTTTCAATGTTAAACATTGTTTGTTATGACCCACACTGTCAAGTAACTTTGCATAGTTATAAAACACAATAGGCATTTTTCTGGTATTCTCAGTTTTCAGTCAAGATTCATCTGACATCAGCAATGACATCCCTGGTGCCTTGTCCTCTTCTAAACTCAGCTTGAACTCTGTTTATGTACTATTCTAGCCATTTTGGATGATCTTCAGAAGTATTTCTTGCATGTGATATAACCAATATTGTTCAATTATTTCCACAATTCTGTTAGATCACCTTTCTTGAGAATGGAGACATAAATGGATTTCTTCCAGTTTCCTGGGACAGACTGGTGAGCACATCCAGGGCAGCATGCATGTGTTAGATGAAACATGTTTATTGGCATCCCATTGATTCCTGGGGCTTTTTTTATTTTCTTTTCTTATTCCTTCATTGAAGCTTGAACTTCTTCATTTCCATAGGCTCTTTATCATATGCTATACTTTCTGAACATTTCTGTGTTGACCAAATCTTTCTGTTCCATCTTCTTTTGATGCTTTCTGAGTCATATAAGAATTTCCTCATAGCATCTATAAGTAGAGAAATTTAAGGCTTGAATTTGTTTTTAAATTATTTTTTTTCATTTTGAGAAATCCTGAGCAAGTTCTTCCCTTTTTATTCTCCAACTCCAGCTCTTGGCACATTTCTTTATATCTTGCCTTGTCTTGTTGAATTAAACTTTGACATAGTTCCTTTTTTTTTTTTTTTTCTTCCACATCTCTTATCTTTATTCTGGCTTCTCAATGCTCTAGTTTCATTTTCTGACACCCATTTTGGTCTTTTCTTTCTCCTCTGTGTACTTCCCATTTGATCTCTTCATGGATGAAATCCTTGCCATAATCCTCCAATTCAAGGCCTCGACCCTATTTGTGAGATGATTTATTAATTCAGGTAGGATAGACTCAAGATTATATATTTGGTTCTCGTGGCTTTATTTTCATTTTCTTATGCTTCAATGAGCAATTGATGGCTTGTTTTACAGTTGGCATCTAATCTGGTTTTGAATGCTGTATTGAGCTTCTACCATAATTTTTTCCATAGGTGTAATATATAGGATTCATACACAGTCCCTCAGACTAAGACCATGTATATAATCATTGTTTGTGTTTCTTAAATTAGATATTTGTGATGAATAAGCCATCAAATGTACAAAGTTCATTTGATCTCTAGCCTCTTTACTGTCCAATTACCATTCCTTCTTCATTGTTTCCAACTTTTGATTCCAGTGATTAATTATTATTAATGCATCTTGATTGCATGCTTGGTCAATTTCAGACAGCAAAAGGTGATGAAAATGCTCAATTTCCTCCTCTTTGGCATTAGCTAATGGTGCATATATTTGAATAAGAGTTCTATTAACAGGTATTCCCTTGTACACGTATGGATAGTATCTTATCACTCATAGCATTGTATTTCAGGATAGATGTGTAGTTGGTCTTTGAAAACTGAATGTAACACTATTTTTGCTCAATTTTTCATTCACAAAATAGCAAATCATATGACTGTCTGGTTCAGAGTGACCAATGCCAATACATCTCCGCACAGTAATGCCTAGAACATTAAGTTTTATGCCTTCTATTTCATTTTTATCAACTTCCAGTTTTCCTACATTCATACTTCATACATTTCACATTCCCATTATTAATGGATGTTGACAGTGACTTCCAGTCTTGGCTCTACCTCTAATACTATAATTATCCATGCTTCTCTATTGCTCACAGAGTTTGCAAAGGTCTATTTTTCAGAAATTATGCTTCCTAATCTGAATTAATTTGGAAGCTCTGCTGAATTCTTTCCACCATGGGTGATCCTGTTGGCATATGAAACACCAGTGACATAGCTTCCAGCATCACAGCAGCCCACAAGTTGTCACAGTAGATCAAACTGGCAGCTATATTGTACTGAGCAATAAGAGCAAATGATACAAAAATTAAAAAAATATGTGTGGATCATAACAAACTGTGGCTGACTCTGAGAAGAATGGGAATCCCAGAACATTTAATTGTGCTAATGCGAAACCTGTACTTGGACCAAGAAGGCAGTCGTCAGAACAGAGCAAGGTAACACTGCATGGTTCAAAATTGGGAAGGGTGTACGTCACGGATGCATCCTGTCTCCACACCTTTTCAACATGTATGCAGAGCAGATTATCCGAGAAGCTGGGCTCTATGAGGAGA